TTTTTTTTTTTTTTGAAACGATAGAGCATATTATAAAACTCAACCTGGAACAAAATCCAAGTACAAGGGGAAGCTCCTACAAATACCGAAAATGAAACTGAAAGGCACATCTACAAAATGAACCTAAATTCAACACAATATTCACTATCATAATGCCCATATACAATTCAAACTCATCAAGTTATATATGTGTATGTGTGTGTGCCATAACCTCTTAGCCTTTTTTTTCCAAAAATGATAGAGAATATTATATATCAAAACGCACAAATGTGCAAATTACACAGCCCCTAGCTGAATAGAACAACCACAGCTGAAAACTGAGAGGACAGATTAGAAGACCGCATAGAACTAACCTACCAAAGCTAGAAAATAAGCTCACAACGACACTACGCAAATAAACTACAAAAACTACAACTAACTCCCAAATAGGAGACTAAAACGACCCAACTGAGAAATACCCTCCCACACTCGGGCTCACATGTACCAACAGCCGAAACCAAAAGCACGATTCCTAACCGAGCAACAACTAAAAGCAACATACTAAAACAAAACAAACAAACTAAAATTAAAAAGGGCCCTTCCACAGTAGATCAACCAAACCGAAACCATAAGGGAAATAGTCAACTCTGAAGTGAGATCCTAAGCCCGAATACCGCTACCAAAATTGTCGAACTGCCTATACAGAAGCCGAACCCGAGCCCCAAACCAAACCCAAATCGGCCCGGCCCCAATCGGTAGAACAACCAACCGACTACCAACACCAGTACAACCCAAACTCGTCTAACACTACTAGACAAACTCGGATTCACCGGAACCTCCCTCGTCAATAGCGCCAGAAGATCGAGAAGGTGGTAGCGGCTCAGTCCCTCCTCAGCCTCAGCTCCTCCGTCACGGAGGCCACGAGCCACCACAGCCGATCCCGACCCCATCCACCACACCACTCCTAACACCGCTGAAGCACTAAGACAACCACCGATTTGAAGCCATATCCGAGATCCACATAGAATGTCGACCCGACCGCTGTAGATCTACAACCACTGGATGTCAGGACAAAGCACGACATCGGGATAGAGGTCCAACGGCCAGGGAAGACCGCCGACGAAGATTGGTCGCTGCTGAGGAAGGCTAAAACCGAGAAGATTGCTAAGTAGAGGCGAGAGACAAGAGATTTAGCCTTGACTCAGTACTTTTAAGTTATTTATAACTTTAATAAGATGTATGTCTCAACATAAATATTTTAATTTATTTTCGTTTAAAAAATTTTTCAAATGAATTTTTAATATATTATTTACGCTTATTATTTGGTCTGACATTTGAAAAGGTGAAATAGATAGCTAGTGTACGTGGTTGTTGCCTTTGGAAAATATATGAGAGCCTGAATGGTTTATTTTCCTAGATGTGTA